CATCTTCCTTGTAAATTTTGTAACAATAGAATAAGAGAACTCAAAGCTGAAGCTGTTCATGTTTTTCATGTCAGCTGATATGTTCTTTGACAAGAGACTTGTCTCAAGCTTAAAGCCATATTAAACAAAAATAATCTAAAATCACAAAAATGTTATGACGATTGTGTGTTTGAAAATTATCTAGTAAAAATAAAACAGAAGCTGCCTCTAGATTCTGGGTTTTTGGAATATATGTCAACTTCTGTGATGTTATAGGCTGTTGGGATACAAAAAACATAGTTTATCTCCACACACGACATTTCTGAAGCTTATTATGAACCTAAAGTGAAAATGATAATATTTGGAAAGATCTGATCTTGATTATTTTAGTTTAATCTGTGCCGCATTCACTTCCACAGACTCAAAAATGGGAATTTCAATGATTTATTTACTTCTGTATTAGAGTTGCATGACATGAGGAAAATGCGTGATAATGTGTGCTTAAAATTAAATTTCCATCTTGACAAGATCTTATCACAGAAGTTGCTTCAGGTCAATGTTTAGCTTAATGCTTTACCATCTTTACCTTCTAAAATATGATTACAGTGTGTTCCATTATGTACATTGCCATAACAATAAATTTACCCTTTACATTATAAGTAAAACATGTTATAAAGCAATTATCATGGTCTTGATTTTGCTTCCTAACACAAACCTGCTTTTGAGAATCACCTTATATATTTCACACAATGTAGCACTTCGATTGGGAATCATCAACCCAACACAAAGACTGTTTCCATTTAGACGATCAGAGTTGATGAGACAATCCTGAGTTTCTTAAAAAAAAAAGCAAATCTTGTTATGACATTTAATTTCATTTGTGCAATTTTTAGCAGTGTGCTATGAGATTTAAAAGCTCTAGTCGTTTATTGAGGTAAATAAAGAGCTGCTGAAGTGCAAAATTCCTTCCAATAAAAACAGAAAAAGATGTGAGGCAGTTACTTCCAGTAGTCCGTTCACATCCGTCACATCACTTAGTGATTCATCCTCATGTTCTTCAGGTGTGCACATCTATCTGTAAAAGTTTAGTTTGTGCTGTACTGTTTTGCACCCTGTGGAAGAGAACAGCTTCTCAGGTTTAGGGGAATAGACCATATCTCTGGCCACCATGTTCGCCACATCATGGTTCGGTTCGAGGTTTCTGGCTCTCATCTCAGCCATGGCACACTGGACCACATGCTCGTACTCCAGAGGAAGGAAGGGAACAAAGAAGTCCACCAGGTTCTTGTCAATCAAACCTGTGTGAAAGAAGCCCCCTGTGGGACGGGAAACGGAAAAGGACTCTGAGCACTTTTACTTGATTTTAAGGAAATGGTGTTGAGATCTCAGCTTACCATTTTGGTTATTGAACACAGACAGGGAGAGTGTTTCTTCTAGGTCTTTGAGCGTGATCTCTTCTCGATATTTTCCCGCCTTCCTGAACTCTAGAGCCGTATTAGTGATGATGTCTCCTCCTGCGTTGCTGTCGGATACAAACCAGAAACAATACGTTGAATTTAAAATGAAAATCCAGAGCAGCCAATCGCCTTTTGAAGTCTCGTAATTACGAAACTGAGTTCACTTGTATAATTTAACATTTTATGAAGGTCTCAAAGAATATCAGAGAAAAACCCACCTCATGAAGACTGAGGAACACAACTGACAGGTTAGAGATAAAGACGTGAAACTATTTAAAAGCTGCACATCTCACAGCTGGGGTTCAATGCATCATCTGAGAAATGACAAGAGTCTATGTTTCACACAATAGCAGAGCTACCCAGTTAAACTTAACCTGAGCATGGAGGTCATTAACCACAAAAGCAGTCAAGAGCACCACGGTGACTTTTGAGGAGCCTGGAGGAAAACCTGCTAAGATGTTGCAAAGGAGTTCACACTGTAGAGGAAGCTCACCTTCCAGTAACAGTCAGAGCGCCAATGGCAGTATAGGTCAAAATATATTCATGAGGTGACTGTGGCTCTGTGGGTAGAGTAGTCATCTTGTGATCAGAAGGTTGTAGGTTTGTTTCCAGCTTCCTCCTGTCACTTAACCCCTCACTGTCACTTACTTAGAAAAAGTCTATAGCTGTCCTCCTTAAAATGTGAATCTTGTGTTGTCTTACCTGAGGAAGATAAAGATGGACTTCCCATAAGAAACCCCGTCCAGATTGTCATGGTAGTCCAGGTATGGCTTAATGCTGTCAATCAAGCCTGGGTGCATCTTGTCCATCTCATCAAAGATGAACATGGAAAGCTCACAGTTGGTCACATTGCCTCTGACCCACTGCTGCAACTGAGACTGAGAAGAAAAGCAAGTTAGCTGACTAAGCCAAAAAATAATAAAATTGCTAAATTATTAAAACTTGTAGTTATTATATCTAGGAAACTAGTGATCAGGCCCGAAATCTGGGAGTAGTGATGGACAAAGACCTTAACCTTCAGAGCCACATAAATAGTTACAAAGTTTGCCTTCTATCACCTGATGATCAGGCATAACGGGCCAATGTCCCAGGAAGATCTAGAGAAACTCAGCTCGTGTGTGTGTGTGTGTGTGTGTGTGTTTGGGGGGGGGGGGGGTTCAGTCGCACTGATTATTGCAGCAGTGTCTATTTGACAAAATGTAATAATTGTTCATTGCTTGCTGTTCGCAATATAATTGGTTTCAGTATTATGTTTTTTTTTTTTAATGTGAAGCATTTTGAACTTCCTTATTGCTGAAATGTGCGACACAAATAACGTTGACTTGATTAGAGATGTGGGCCATCCTTACCTTGTAGGTATCAATCATATGCCTATGCGGGAAGTGAAGCGTGGCTGTAAACAAGTGGACGAAGCGGCTTTTCATTCCGTTGGTGTAAATGCTTTCGGCGATGAGCCTGCTCATTACGTTCTTCCCGGTGCCGGTCCACCCGTGGAGAGAGAGCACCAGGGGCTTGTTCGAGTTCGTGTTGCTCATGAAGCCGTTCACAGCTTTGAAAATGATGCTGGACGCAATGTGCTGTCCGAACATCTTGTTGTCTAGGTCCGTCTGGAGCCCTGGAGAATTTAGACGAAAAGCTAATCAGGAGATTTGTGGCTGGAACCACATGAGTCATATAGGAAAGGTTTGCAGGAAGGCCATTGTTTTCTTCTGAATTTGTGGAGTAATCCCTGTTATCTTGTCAATTAATAAGAATGAATGCATGGGAATACCTCATACAAGTTGGGCACAAAAGATTTGAGCCCTTGAGATTGAATAAATGCTTTCTAGTTTTTGTGGCAGCTGCCACGGCTTCGGTGGCAGATTGAATATTGAATATGAATAAGTTTATTTCAAACAAATAAAATAAATAACAAAAGCAAATTTAAAATGTCCTAAACTGTGGATGATGATCATCATCATAGAAGTGCTGCCACAGGTGCTGGAGCTAAACTCTGAATAGGCGACAGTTTTCAGATTCGCTTTCATAGAACAAACGCGTTCATCAAACAGATATGTGAAACTTTAAATGTCGAACCACTCAGAATTATTATTTTTTTTTACATAAGACGTTTTTATAGAATTAAGTTTGACACACACAAAAAAAGCACAACACTCAGAAGCTGTACTGCTTAATCAGATGCTTACTTGTTCTATTGAAGGATATCCAAACGGGTCGGCAGCTCTCTGAAGTAGAAGAAAATGTTACTCGATAAAATAATAGTGACACCAGCTACGCCAATAACCATTCACATTGCGGTAGTAGTGCCAACGAGTTCCAGGTCCACCGCCGTGCTGGAGCAGAGAAACAGCCAGATGAGCAGCAGGACATGTTGCTTTTTCGGCTGCATTTTGATTACCAAGACAAACTGGGACAAAACCGAAAATAACACATTATTGTGGCCAAGCGTCTTGAAGGGGAAGTGCTGTTGTTGTAAAATTGTTGTAAAATTGGTCATGTACGAGTCCAAAGGTGCCATATTCTGTTTTATTTACCTTAAAAGTTTGTGGCATGTGTCCGTTTACTTAGGATAGATAAATCATATCTAAAATGGGGGGTCTGTAATGAAAGGAACTTCCTTAAACTTTCCATCTACTAATCAAATTATAAACTATGTCATAAAACAGTACTCAGAAACCTACCAACATTTATTAGTCGGATTCATTTACTGCAAGCTGCTAGGACTTAATTTTACAATGTGAGTAAATGTTTAGAACAAAGTGGACACATTTAACATGGTATTTATGGTTAAACTCCAGCTCTGCTCATACACGAAAAATGGAAATATTTCTGAATCACCACGTGATTCAGAACTGAACAGTGACAAGAAAGCTCACAAATGTAATTAACACTGAACATTCCCTCCAAGAACTATTATATTTTCACAAAAGAACCCCCCCCCCCCTCGAAGAAATAGCAGCACAAGACAACTTGGAAACTGACACTGGTCAAAAACACATATAGCTTTTCAGACCTGGGAATACCGTTATTTAATCTTAATGCTGTTTTTAGCCAAACCTGTCATGACAATATATTTTGCTGGACAATAAATTGCCCCAGTAATTATTGGGATAAATTATAATGTTGACCATTTTCAAGTAATATATTGATAATGGCATAATACACACTGAATTTACAATGCTAATTCTAAATAGAAGTGAGGTTGTGTCTTAATGTACTTAATGTGTATGAAAAAACTTTTTCCTACATTTTTCCTACAAAAACAAAAATATATATATATATATATATATATATATATATATATATATATATATATATATATATGAGAATTGGTTTACAGTGTTTATGGTCCTCCTGCTCCATCGGTTTTTAGGCTTTTTATTTCACTGTTTCACCTGAAGTTGCACTTTGCACAGTCATGCTCTGCAAGTTGATGATTACACAACATTCCCTATATCAACGCCAGCCGGCCTCATTACGGGTTTATTGAAGTGATGATAGAGTGGCCACTGAAAGAGCTGGAATCCGGTGTTCCCTTTATATTAACGAGTGAAACGCTGATACTCAAAAACATGTTTTATTATTAGCTGTGATCTGAATGCTTGGTGGTATTTACAGCCAAGGAGCTTTCTATGCACAGCAGAAATTCACATTCACATTCAGAGGTAAACAGAAGCAGTCACACTGAAAAGGTTTGCTTTCTTCTTAACACTTGTACAACCAACAGAGATATACTTCCACCCACTGCTTAGAAAGTAAATACAGTAGCTCCAAAAAAGCATAGATGCCCCTCTTAGTATGGCACTGAAACAATGAGAAATTATCTAAACTTTTTCCAACATTAATGTAACATTTATTCTGTACAAGTTGATTAAAGACAAAAGAAATCTGTTGGAAAGGATTTTTTTTCTTTTTTTTTGCAAAAATGCAGTTTAATAATTATGAAGAACCTCAAACTAAAATGTGGTAGACTCAATTTCATCATTCAGTCTACTTGAGTAAACACTAGGTTTGCACAACAGCAGGAAAATGTATAACTGTGATACTCTTGCTGAAAATTCCAGCACTATTAATTATTACCCCAAATTTTATTTTACCGTCCTCCATGAGCAGCTCAGCCACTAAAACAATAGATCAGGTGTAAACATTAAGAGCAGAGTCCATCCTATTGGTCAAATACATCAAAAACGCCCAGAGCAAATATTGTTTCTAAGCTGATCTTTGCTATTTTAATTAGGAGTGCACCGATTGCAGTTTTTGGCCGATCACCGATTTTTTAAATGAATGACCTGCTGATTCCAATTTTGGCTTTTTTATTTTTGTCTTAAAAATGACTAAATACAGCAACAAAGTCACCAAGTTGGCAGCTATAGGATGACGATTGATAACCCCGCACCTACAAACCTAATTTTCAGACTTTTGCAGGGATAGATAAGATCAGTGGATTTATGTACGTATCGGCCGATTGCCAATCAAACCAAAACAAAGGGAGTCAGGGCTGATTTGTTGGCCGGCCAATTTATCGGTGCACCGCTAATTTTGATATTACAATGATATTTTGTAATGGCCAAGCTAAAGATCAGAACAATCATCAATAGAAAATCGCCTCATGAAATAGACTTGGAGAACTGTTGCAAGTCAAAATGCTGGATGATAGATGCTCAGATGCTTAAATTAATAAAGTTTGAAGTTTATAAAACTAGGCTACTGCAGCTAAGCTGGTGCTTTCCAACTTATTTATTTATTTTTCAGCTGATCTGTATTAGAGTTGTACAAAATTAGGAGAACATGCGATATGTGATAATGTGTGTAAGTCAAGTTAAGTCTTCCAAAAAAAATGTAAGTGTTAAGGTCTTTCTGCTTTTGATTTCCTGAAAACAAAAATCATAGATTATCATCCGTCCAAGTGCTGTAAAAATGAAATAAATGTCCATCTTGGCAAGGACTTATTACAAAATGGCTTCAGGTCAATGTCTAAGTTAATTCCCTAAAACCCTTAGCTTCTAAAATATCATTACACTCCATTATGTTCTCATAGCGATAAATTTACCCCCAACATTACATGTGGAAATGTTTTAAAGCGATTTGTCATGGTCTCGTTTTCTTTTCATAGCAAAAACCTGACATTTGAAAATCACCGTATATTACACGCAATGTAGCGCTTTGATTGGGGAAACGCCAACCCAAACTGTTTCCATTCAGACGAACAGAATTGATGATGAGACGACAATCCTGAGTTTCTTAAAAACAAATCACGTTACAACACTCCATTTCACTGGTGTAATCTTTGCAGTGCAGCGAGGTTTAACAGTGCAGAATAAAGGACACTAGATTTAAGTTTTAAAAAAGGAGACTTCCTGTTTTCACCTCACCTACACCACCAACTGCTCGTTTATTGAGGTAAATGAACAGCTGTTGACGTGTAAAATTTGACGAAAAACTGTGAGACAAAGATTTAAGGCGATCCGTTCACGTCGAGACCACGTCGGAGAACGGCTCCAAAGGGAACCGGGATTCCCTGACAGGAAGACATCAATACTTAAGAGTTTTTCCAAGGAAACACAACCGTCCAAGACTGGCGACATAAAAGCAGAGATTAAGCTCTTTAGCAAGCGACTAATCGCTCTGACCGCTTGAATATTTCATCCGGCTGGCGCTGAGTGTAAGTGAGAAGGCCTCCTGATGGCTTGACGGCCACAAGGTCAGACAGAGAAACCTTCACTAAATTCTCTTCAGCCAGACTGGCTTCCTGTCTCTAGTCATTTTGGCTGCAAAGTTCTTTATCTAAAAAAAAAAGTGCACTTAGTGACGCGTCTTTATGTCCTTTAGATGCACACATCTACGTGTAGAAGTCCAGTTTGCTCTCTATCGTCTTGCAGCCTTTAACGGAGAACACTCGCTCAGATTTGGGGAAGTAGACCAAATCCCTGGCCACCTGGTCCGCCACGTCGGGGTTCGGTTCGAGGCTTCTGGCTTTCATCTCAGCCATGGCACACTGGACCACGTGCTGGTACTCCAGAGGCAGGAAGGGAACGAAGAAGTCCACCAGGTTCTTGTCGATCAAACTTGTACGAAAGAAGCCGCCTGAGAGAAGAGAAACAGAAAAGTACTTCAAGAACTTTACTATTTTTATTAAAGAAACGGCGACGTGATCTCGGCTTACTTTTGTTGTTGTTGAACACGGACAGCGAGAGTGTCGTTTCCAGGTCTTTGAGCTCGATCTCTTCTCGATTTTTTCCCGCTTTCCAGAACTCCAGAGCCGTCTGGATGATGCCGTCTCCTCCTGCGTTGCTGTGGGGTGAAAACCAGAAGCGATATATGATTTAACCTGAGAGAATATCAGTGTTTTCACACCTGTTAGTGGGGTACACTTAGTTTGACTATATATATATATATATATATATATATATATATAACTCTCAGAAAAATGCTTCGTTTCTCTTTATTTACTACATTCATAAAAATTTATATAAAACCGGGAGTATTAATTTCCTAAGACACAAGCCAAATCTTCTGAAGTCTTAGTCGTTTACCTGAGGAAGATAAAGATGGATTTCCGGTAAGAAACCCCGTCCAGCTTGTCATAATAGTCCAGGTATGGCTTGATGCTGTCAATCAAGCCTGGGTGCATCTTGTCCATCTCATCAAAGATGAACATGGAGCGCTCACAGTTGGTCACATTGCCTCTGACCCACTGCTGCAACTGAGACTGAGGAGAAAACCAAGCAATTAAAACAGGTCAGACGGCTGAAATGTGTTGTAAAACTCTTCATGGACTATAATTCACCTTGTAGGTGGCCATGTGCTCCGCGTGCGGGAAGTGAAGCGTGGATGTGAACACGTGGACGAAGCGGCTGTGCATTCCTTCGGCATAAACGCTTTCGGCGATGAGCTGGCTCACAAAGTTCTTCCCGGTGCCGGTCCACCCATGGAGAGAGAGCACCAGTGGCTTCTTCGGGTTCGGGTTGCTCATGAAGCCGTTCACGGCTCTTAAGATGATGCGGGACGCAATGTGCTGACCGAACAGCTTGTTGTCCAGGTCCGTCTTGAGCCCTGGAGAATTTAGACAAGAGAGGCATCAGGATTAGTTGCTGTTAGGTCGATTCTGACTTTTCCCTCATTTTTCTATTTTTTTGGCACTTGGTTTTTCACTTTCCAACGGTTGTCATGATGAGTAACCATGGCAACAAGATGTTTCCTACTGATCAAAATTTAATTTCTAACTATATGGTAAGACAGAGATTTAAAATGACTGCTACTGAAGTTGGCTGCAGAAGGAGAAATGGGGTAACGACACCTCTATGCCACGATAATGAACAGCAAGCTCATTGTTCAAGCTGTATTAACCATTTATGTCCGTAGTGAGCAGTGCACTCTACAAACCTAAAGACATTTCACTCTTTGCATTGGGGGGGTTTGTTGTTTTTAAGTTTCTTGAGCCCTTTAATGTGTACTACACTGCTGTGGAGATCTACAGATGCAGAAATTCTGCAACATTTGCTAGAACCATTAGCTAAAAGGGCAATATTTTTCGGTTTCAGTTTACATTAGCCCCCACCCCCAACTCGCAAGCGCCATTTTACCGTCTCCCTGCTAGTTAGTGCAAATGAATAACAAAGTAGATATCTTACACCAGGCTCAAGTATTAACACTGCATTCGAGCTCACCTGTTGCGTTATAGGCTATCCATTTTGGATCGCAAGTTTCCTTAAAGTAATTGAAGATCGTCCGCCCCAGCGCAGCCCCGACACCGACTACCACCGTTGTTGTGATCGGATCAAACGCGTTCACCAGCCCGCTGAATGTCAATGTCACCCACAAACAGATATGCGGAACTTTCATTGTCGAGCCACTCGGATTATTTCCGACATAAGACGTTTTTGTGGAATAAAATGGGAAGGACAGCACGAGAAAAAAAACGACAGAGGGCATGCACGGGCGCTTCCGCCTACGTCATTGTGGTGTTGAGTTACGTTCAAGTCAGGGTTGAAAAAAATTGTTTAAATTGGAAACTCAAAAGGATTAAAGTGAAAAAAGTGGGGGGGAAACACCAAGCAACACTAAAAACCGAAGTCTTTGCAGGATTGTCTGCTTACTTGTTATATTGAATGATATCCACTCGGGCCGGCAGCACTCGTGGAAGTAGTAGAAAATGTTCTGGTATCTCGCTAAAATTCCAGTGAGAGCCGCAGCCATTCCTACTGCGATAGTGGTGCTAATGGGTTCCAGCGCCTCCGCCATGCTGGAGTAGAAAAGCAACCAGAGGAGCAGAACGTGTTGCTTTCTCGGCTGCATTTCTTTTACAAAGACAAACCGGGATAAAACCGAGAGGAACACGTTGTTATGGCGAAGCGTCTCGAAAGGGAAGTGCTGTTGTTAAATTAGTGACGTCAGGGTCCAAAGGTTCTTCTTCTTCTCCTTCTTAAAGGGGTTCAGTTTACACATTAATGGCTGAGTTTCCCTAACTCTTTCAGCCTCTGAACTCTGTAAGTAAAGATGCGTTTTTCTCACAATTCACTAATGACTGTTGCTTTTTATTGCTTTACAAAATTATCGACTAAATATACTCTTTGGATATCTTATGAAGACCATTTCACAGTAGGGGTCATTACCCTAGACAAGCAAAAACGTGGCTGTAAGACACGTCAGAGTGTTTCACATTACAAATACAATATATATAAATCTATATCTATATATATATATAAATCTATATATATCTATATATATATATATATATATATATATATATATATATATATATATATATAGATATAGATATTCTTAACTTTTCTGCTAAAATAATTTTGCTTTGCTCTTGATAAAGCAAAACAGGCTTTAAAAAGATGTCATCTGTTTAATAAGTGGAGCCTGGTTTCTGATAGCAAAAATATCCCCAAACAACCAAATGCAATTTTTTTTCTTGCGTTATGTACAAAATGTAAAAAAAATAAAAAAATAAAATAAAAAAAAAGCACCTGACCAAATACATTTAAGTGAGACTTATCAGCCTCATGGTGGCGCTACAGCACAGCTGAGAGAGGTCGCAGAGATTCAGAACCAGAAATAAAATGCATGGGACACACACACCCAACCAAACTTTAATAAAAGCATAGAAAAAAAATTAAAGAGAAAAAAAACAACAACCTCACCTCCATTAGGATACAGACAATAAGACAGAAACTGAATGAACACTGTGACAAAATAAAACATCACTGCTGCTGCCATGGAGATACTGTTGTATCTGAAATCACAGTCATTCCTCCAGGTTGGTATTGATCAACATGTAAACAATGGAGATTCTTTTCAGAAAAGATAAATAAATAAAAGAATAAGACTTCCTCCAGAAAAATTCAGACACCCTTTCAGCCGTCATCGAGTGGGAAAAGGCAGTGTGTGGATGTGATCTGATTACTGGATGATTGGAGCTCTTTGCTCTTTCCTTTCATTTCTCCAGCGCATATTCCCACAGCAGTTAGGAGAAGGCTACCAGAGGGCGCAGGTCAACCTTTAATCCTTCTATAAACAGAAAGCAGTGCCACCACTCACACTTAAACGCCCCCTCCTCCCCACTCCCACTCTGTTCACCTCATCCCGATCCCCCGGGAGAACGGTCTCTCAGAGAATCAAAGCACATTCCCGTGACATGAACAATGAAATGATCCACAGAAAGGAGGCTCAGAGAGCCATATCTGAAGATCTGTATGTACATAATGCTTGAAGATAAGACAGCCAGATGTGTTTTCCAGTTGTGGTGCGAACAGCGAGCATGAGGTGTAGCTGGGTATAATTCCTGTTATTTGTCCCAAACTAATTGTAATTATTTTTTTCAAAGATAACTTGACTAAATACAAAAAAAAAAAAAAAAATTAATCAATGGGTTTTAATTTATTTGGGTTAAAAAAATTTGTCTCACTGGGAAAAAGTGATTACCCCAAACTGGTCATGTTAATGTTAATGTTCCCCCCCCTTTGTAAATTAAATCACTTTGAAATTATTGCTCTCCGAATATTGACGTAAAATGAAGCACATATTTTTGCATAGCAGGCAGCACAACTATATTTTGTTGCCTCTCTTTGATCTGTTGTAAAACTGGCAATCTGTGCGGGATTGAAGCTCTTCCTGATGGTGGCGCTGCAGAGACATTTTAGTAATACCAAGCTTCAGTAGAATCTGTAGGGAGTCCCATCATGTTCTGCTTTCAGGCTCACATTTGACAATCCCTGGTTGCAATATTTATTGAATGGAAAATGGCAAATAAAGACAGAATTGTTTAATGAAAACAGTACAAAAGTTACTCTGGTCTAAAGAAAGAGTGACCTGCTTGGTGAGAGCTGGCGAACAAGACTAATGTTGGGGGGTTAGGGTTAAAAATTCTAAATTATTGATATAATGAGAAGAAGGGAGAACAAAACCTATATTGAACTCAATAATGGGCAACAATATACAACGTTTCATTTCCTAAAACTAAACCTAATCGCTTCTTGTGAATTAATGGAGTGTTGTTGCAGCAAGAAATAATTATTTTTAGTGATGCACGGATCAGATATTTGTAAATTCTCATCTTCAGTTTTGTCATGCAGAATTCTTTTTTCTTCTTCTTTTTTTGTTTTGTTTACTAAAGAGCTTTCAAAATGTCTCAGTTCAGCTTTTTCTCCATGACAAGTCAATAAACGTGAGCAGAGACGTCGTCCCACCAGTCACAGTAAATCACGGTTTTACCCTTTTAAGACAAAACTACTGCGGCCTTAAAAACAGAGGTGAGGTTGGGTATGTTTAAGCTTCCTGTTTTGAGACCGACGCCCTCTTGAGTTTAGCGCTACTGGTTAGCATCCTGAACGAAGAGCTGAAATTTTTCCCCTTAAATGACTTCTTACATCTTTTTATTTCTTCTGCCTCAGGCATTAAGCAGTTCACTTCTATTTAGAGAAGAATGTTGTCGTCACCACAACTCAGTAGTGCTTCTTTCTGTATTGTGTTGTGTTAACTGATCTAAACAAGATTTAATTTGTGATTTTCCAGCTGGTCGCTCACCAGGTCGGACCAATCAGTTTGAAAATTAATCATTTGTGACCATCAAGCAATTACTTGGTGCATCTTTTGGCAATTTAATTTTATTGATATATTTTGGTGCTGATATTTTCATGCAGTGTTTTAGAGTTCTGCGTGGAATACCAACTTTAAGATTTGGTGCTTCAAATAATTTCTTGGATATTTTATAAAGTAAAATTCTACAGCAAAAGATGCTTCTTCTTTCCCTGTTGGGACAAACATGTTGCTCTATAACTGACAGACTAAAGTACCACCACTAGTCTAGATGTGGGTGGATGGAGGGACTCAACAATAAAACATAATCTTAAACTACTGTCTTATTTGTTTTGCAGTAAATTTACAAATCAAACATGAATCAGGACTTCTAACAACTCTGATAACTGGCTGCCACCTGGGTTAAAAACAGAGCAAAGAGAGGAAGAAAACATTTCGAAAGCATCTCCTCCAGGATGGATTGTGATCATCGAAGGACCCGAAGTTCAGCTCTTATAAAATATGACAAAGATAAGTCAAAACACCAGAACCAACTGTGTTTGTGTTCTGGTTTGCTCAAACCGGAATGATCCCGGGCTCGGCTTCCCACGGATAATCTGCAACACCTGCTGTCAGATCCAAACGGATGCACCACATGTGTGTAAGCCTCAGCAGGGAGTGAATTATGACGGGGGTTTTCTGCTGGTTTCCATGTAAATAAAACCGATTTTTACATGTCCACCGAGACAGTTTTGTTTTTCATGCCAGTCGCTGCGGTGGCAGCAGTTAAAATCCTCATCCTTGGGACGGTTTTCCCGTGTCGGACAACAATGTTCCCCACGCAGCGACGAGATGGAAGTCTCACATCCCATCATGCACCAGGACAATGCAGAGCAACAAAAAAACGACAGGGGTTTGTGAATAGGAGAAAAACGCGCCTTGGCAACAATGCCTGCAGTCATTTCACAAACATTCCCCGAGTCGTCCCTATTGTGTCAGAGCAGCGGTACATAATGTAAACATCCTCTCTCTGTGCCGAGACGCAACTATATTCAGACTCCCCACAGGAAGTGACTTCATGTCCAGCGTCCGCCTCACTCTTCCTCTCTCAGGTGGGGAGCATTCTTGGCAGCGGACCTCCCGGGTCAAGGAAGCAGAGGTTAGACTGTGATGCCACTGAATGCAACAAGCAGCAAACACTTTCTGGTTTTTTATTCATATTTATGAACACATTTCTGTTTGGGTCACTTTGTTCGGTTGCCTAATCTTGTTGTGATCTAAATGTTTTTGTTGTTGTCCATTGTGTGAAGTTCCAGTGATCTCGGGAGGTTTTTTTTTATTTACTTTTGGAAAATGGCAAATTTATATCAAAGTGAAACAGGAAAACATGCATCGCTAATAATAAGCTCCTTGATGGTGTGTAAAAACTGAATATTTGTATTACAATCATAAGAAACGTTTATTTCATGGGAAACATTTGATGACTGTAAAATGGCGAAGTACGGCAGAGGATCTGTGATGCTGTGGGTCTGTTCCTCTAAGCGTCAGATGGTATTACAGACTTTAAAGACCAGATGATTTTAGTTAAAGGTCTGGTGGATTCCATCAGAAAACGGAAAATGGGTCGTAATTGTGTTTTCCACAAAGAGTATAAAATATTCATGATAGCACATTCAAAAAAAAGTTTGTCCATTTAATTTTAATTCTGGGATGATTAGTTGAAATGGAAAAATCACATCATAACATTGTCACTGTGAAATTTAGAGGGCTGGTTGTGTGGCAAAAATAAATAAATTGTTTTTTTCCCCTTAGTTTATGAGAAAATTCTGGTGTGTCTTAAAGCCGATAAATATGCAGAGATCTGTCTATCTTTAGCTCAGCTTACAGTGAGCCAGGTGGGGAAGAAGGCTGGAGAGCAAAAGCAGCGAGCTGACGCTTTGACGAAAAGGCAGACATACTTGGCTGACATTCATAAAACCTGAGGGGAAGCTTTAAGGGTCACGTTTTGGTACAGTTTAAAGCAAATCCACATGTAACATGCAGCAATGCACGCAGAGAAACATGCTGACTGGAGAGAGTGGAGGAATACCGGTCTGTGAATCGTTTTGGTTTATAAAGCAAACATGTTTCTGTACATTTTGAACTTAGACACACTTCAGGGAAAAGGGTATGCTAGGTTTAAGAAAGGCTGATTGGTTATTGGTCCCACTCATGACTGATCCCAGATCATGCATGGATGAATGGATGGATGCTTCATCTGTGACATTATTTTAACTGTCTGGGAAATTTAAGTGACATGTATGAGTGTTGCCAAAATGACACTAAAATCAGAAGCTTTACACACCGACTAGCAACAGATCCTTTCGTGTATGAAAGTTGAGC